GAAAGCATGTAAAATCTGGGTAACAAGAGTGTATTTGATCCTTATACACTGTCTTTCAATGAACAGACTACTACATTATTCACTCACTATATTTTCATGCTGTGGCTTGTATTCCAAACTCTTCTGTAACACAAGCTAAACTGCAAAACATTCATCCAAACTCCACTGTCACAGAAGATGGCTTGTAAATCTGTAAAGGCCAGAGACTCCCACCAGCATGTCAGCAAGTGGATGGTTCATACCAGCCTGGTTTACTGCAGAGCTAAGAACAGCACCTGGCTCACAGCAGATACCTACTCCATACTGGGCACTCTGCTAAGTGCTTTGCATTTGTCTTAGTTACTTTTTTTGTTGCTGGGACTGATTTAGTAATCACACATCCTTAATCCCAGCATCGCACACTCTAGATCCAGCCACCTCCGAAAAAGCTCCACCAATGACCACATGAGGCTTTGGGGATACATCTAGACCCAAACCATAACAGCCTTTGTCACTCATTTAATCCTCCAGCTACCCTATGAGGCAGGTTGTCTCTTAGTAGACTGGTTTCAAGATGTCTGGAGAAACCTAAATCTTGGGTTCTCAAGTCTCTTTTGTAAAATGGTACAGTATTTGCACATAACCTACATTCACATCCTTTTTTAAATTTTTATTTTAAAGAAAATAGTACAAAAAAATAGCAAAATACAAACAAAACAAAGCAAGGACATTAAAAATGGTATGGGGTTTCAAACCAAATGATAGGGATTAACAGTGGCTGTTATGTTACATATAGTTATCTTCAACGAAGTTGCTCAGATTACCAGATGTAAGAATAGAAGATTGATCAAATCATTAAAGGGAATAAGAAAATAATAATTTAAAAGAACATTAGACACAACACAATATGAAAATATCTGAACATTGTTATACTGTATTACGTATGGAATCACAAGGAAAAAGTCTGTACATGTTCAAAGTAGGCACAATTTTTACTTTGAGTATTTTCTACATGCGTTGGTTGAATCGGCACATGTTGAACCCGCAGATATGAAGGGCCAGCTGTGCTCAGACCCTCATTTTGCAGATGAGGAAACTAAAGCTTGGAGCAGTGAAGGAACCTGAATGGGCCTCAGAACAGGGAAGTTTTGGAAATGAAAAACAATCCCAGATCTCAGAGTTCGTAACTTTGTTTTCTCATTTCTTGCATATCTTCATTCCTTCTTAAATGATCAGTGGGTAACTATCAATTAAACAGGCTTTTTTATAAGCTGGATGAAGCACATCTATAAAAAAATCAATATGAATGGATTTGCCATTGCTACTTAACAATTCCTCGGGGGCTGGGTAACCAGGAGTCATATTTATTAAGCTACAGCATAGCACAGCTAAAAGCATCATCAGAAGTCTGAATTGCTCATATAATATAAATCCCTTACTCTTTAATAAAGGCAGATCCTCCAGAGAGTACGAGGTAAGCAGGTGGGAAAATGGAGAAACCAACTGGATCTAGTATTAGCTCCGACAGGGAAAGCATAAAAAATTCAAAGTTAAGGTCAGTTACTACATTTTTCTAAGTTGCTCCTATTTTTTCTTATTGCTTGACTTCTTAAGACTTGTAACATTATATGTAAGTATTTACAGGTGATGATAGGAAATATTTTGAGGTTACCAAAAGGAAAATTTCAAATAGCATATGAACTTTTAAAATACCAAATGATTCCTATCCAAATGTGTTGCAAAACTATTAAAATGAACTCATAAAAATATTTGTATTATTTTGTTTTGAGTCAGGGTCTTGCTATGTAGTTCAGGCTGGCCTTCAAGCCACTAAACGTAGCTTACACTGGCCTGGAACTTTCCTCCTGTCTCAGCCTCCCAAACGCTGGGATTATAGGCAACACCATCATGACCAGCTGACAAAGATCTTTTTAAAATTTAACTGACAAAATCTGGCTTCACAGTGGTTTCCAACTGTAGCAGAAACATTCCATGAAACTTAAGTTGCTTAGCTAAATATCTCACAATGTCAACATCTCTTTGAGCTATAATATTCTAGGTCAACAAATATTAGGTCTCTAAAATTCCAAGTTTTCACTTGCTATTTACCCGTCATTTATTTATTAAGTATAAATATCAGGCAAGTAACAGCAAAAAATTAAATCCCAAAGGTAGAATATATTTATAACATTAATGAGTAATTTAGCATATATATGTGCGTGTACATACCAAACATCTAGATTTTAGATGTATCTTCTAAGCAAATGGAATTAACTCTCCAGAAAGAGCTCAACATAAGTTAGACAAAGACAGAGGGGTGGAGGAGATAATTTATTTTATTTTGAAGTGAGTATCTGCCAGGAATAGTATCTCAGAGAATTCTTTCAAGTGTTAATTTGCCCTTATCGGTAAACATCTCAGATTAGTAAAGAGAATTCAAATGAGCATCTGAGAAGCCCATCTAAGTCCACTTAAGAAGCCAAAATGTAAGTTCTAAAAGTTCATGTAACCCTAAAAATCAAATTTTTTCAAGATATTAAAATCTTAATCGGGCATGAAAATACAGTATATTCAAGAAGGTGTAAAGACTGCACTTCCTAAATAGAATTAACTACGAAAATAATACTTGTGGCAAAATATGTAATCAATGGAGTGGTATTAAACAAATAACTATTTGTAAACAATTTATTCTCAGTTGGAATAAAAAAAAGAGGGAGGTTACTACAAATGAAAAGCAAGCATCACAGATATAGGTAGACAAGCTAAAAGAAGAAAGCTAAGCTAAGAAGAAAACTCCAAATATCTCCAGGGCTATTTCCACAAGTTAGTTATTGAAGGCTGGCCAGGATCACAATGCTACCTTCAGAGGTAAACAATGAGGAGAGGCACCACAGCCATTTTACATTTCTCCTAGAACCCAGCCCCTCTCTTCCATGCCCGGCCTTCAGAACAACAACTCTCCCCCGCAGAAGTATCTATAACAGCAGGGGGTTCGGAGAGGCCCACTCAAGGAGGCTGAGCGACAGCTGCCATCCTACTCCCTCACCACCCACTGAGAAGGCTATCACTGTGGTTGAGATTCTTCTTTCTTTTTGTTTTGGTGGTACTGGGGTCTGAAATCAGGCCCTTTGCACTGAGCTACGTCCCCAGCCCTATTATTTGTTGAGGCAGGGTCTCACTCGATTGACTAGACTGGGTGTGAACTTGTGATTCTGCTGCCTCAGCCTCCCAGAGTCCTGAGATTACAGGTGCATATCACAAGGCTCAGCTGTGGGTCCATGTCTTATTAACTGTGGCACTCTAAGCCAGTCACAACCTCTCCAAGCCTTCCTTTATCTGTAAAGTGGGGATAATAAAAGCTGTTTCACAAGGTCCTTGGGAGGGTCAGATATAAGTACCTAACAAACTCTGCTATAAATGTTGGTGATTATGACTAGCAACAGCATTCCAAATGCCTTTTGCCCATTTTTTCAGATACACACAACTTTTATGATTCACTACCTCCTTCATAAATTAGTTTTGTGTTGCTTTAAGGTAATATTGAAAAACAAGAAGAGATGATAGGGATATTATCCTCACCTGTAAGACTAGATTAGGTTATTTCCTGTAGATACCTCCTACTTCACTAAGATCTTAAACTTGGTTGGAAAACAATGCTGAGTAAAAATTACAGGAGGTCATTGTTTGAACTAAGTCCTGTACTAGGCTCCAACAGAGCAGGCCAAAAGTAAAAATGGAGTCACTCACGCTAACGTTCCACAGCACCAAATTGAAAACTGTTTATCTGAGCTTAAAAAAAAAAAAAATCAAGGGGCTGGGGATTTAGCTCAGCGGCAAAGCGCCTGCCTGGCAAGCACAAGGTCGTGAGTTCCGTTCCCGGTACCGGAGAAAACCAAAAAAAAAAAAAAAAAAAAATCAAGTTAGAAAGATAAAAGCTAAATTTCCTAAACAGGCTAGTTTCAATTGGCACAATGATGAAGTATCTTCTACTTTAACCCTTACACAACAATATAAACAACCTCATGTTAACCAATCATTTGGAGGGGGAGGTGAAAGGTCTCACTATGTAGTTCAGGCTGGTTTTGAACTCACTATGTAGCACAGGCTGGTCTCAAACTCACGGCGAGCCTCCTGCCGCAGCCTCTCAAGTGCTGGGATTATAGGTGTGAAACACCGTGTCTGGCGCCCAGTCATTTTTCTAGGTTCTGTCTCCCTATGCCTACTCTCCAGAGAAACTTTTAAATGACCAATATGCTTTTGTTTCTGACCCTTCAGCCCTTTTTATTTGTTCTATAAAACAACCCCCTTTTCAGCCCATCAGAGCATTTACTTCATGGAATGAAATGTCATCCAACTTCAGAGTCATAAAACCAATTACAACTGTCATAATTTTGTCTTCTGATAATAGAAAGTCACAATATTATCCTTAGATATTATACTATCAAAAACAGACAATTTTCTGGATATAAAGAAAAAAAGCCTCAACATAATCCATCCAAATGAAAACAACAAAAATAAATTTCCATAAAATCTAAATTTAGCCAAACAGGTACCTTCATTTAAATGCTTTTGCTTGCTCTCTTTATCAGTATGAGGTGAAAAAAAAATCATTTTGTAAGACATGCAGCTCTAGCAACCTAAATTTTAAAAGCGACATTTTTTGGAACACATCCTACAGCCAGAACCTAGTCACACTAATTCTCTTTATTTTCTACACTTACACTTTTGAACTAAAAAACCTAATGTCACAAAGAATCCCGGGCCACTTTACCAATCATCAAAAATTGTGTTATCTGAGCTGAACTGTAGCAGAAAATAGTAATATCTTTCAGGAGCATTTCTATACTTTACCTGGCTAATCCTTAATCAGACTATAATACTGACTACAATTCACTATTTTCCAAAAAAGCCTGTTAATCAAGAATTTAATGAATTCTTAGAAAGCTCTGAAATTAGACCAAGTCCCGTGGAGACTGTTCTCATTCCAAAAGGGTAATGACAGCTACCAATACCGAACTCACCCAGATTTGCTGTCATGGATTCCAAGTCTGCTACTAAACCTGGAAGCTGCTGCAGCTGCTCCTGCAACTCAATCAGGCTCGTCTTCTTCTTCTCCCAGTGCACAGAGAGCATAACCACCTCGCTATCCACCAGCTGCAACACAGGCCAGAGGGTAAAGGGAGAAAACCTCAGGTACAAAGGAATTACAGTCAGTGCGATGAGATTCGGTCCATGTGGTTTTTAACAATCCTTTATTGAGTACATAAGTTGTTTTCCTTTTCAGAAAGGAACCAACTTAATATTCAATACAGGAAACCTCAAATTACTGCTTATATCAGTGCATCTAACCGCACAGAATAAGAGTTCAAAAATGACCTCAGAAATTACTTCTAAGTATACCTTGGTTTTAAGGAAACCATTCATTAGAAAATCGAAACCTAGAAAAAAATAAAACAAAAAACTACCACTAACAATCAGTGAAAATAAAAACAAACCCAAAACCTAATTAACCAGCAAAAAAAACCACAAAAAAACAACAAAAAAGGCAATTATTTACTTTACAAAAGGAATTCTTAGAAAAGTTCTCTAGTACATTTTGAATGTACTATGATAACTTTATTTTTAAATAGGAACACTTCTCACATAAAGGTAAATGGTTCTGTGCATTAAAGAACTAGTAGAGCTAATGGTCAATTCCACAAAAAGAAGAAAAGGATTAAGTTAACAAAGAAGAAACTGAGATGTAAAAAGTCATAATAACAGGGCTGAGAGACACCAGACTAGCCTAAGATAATTCTTACTTCTTTCCCTGAAGACTAAAGAAAATAACAGACAACAGTCTCTCCCAGACAATGACGGTGTTAACATGCTGGGAGAGGCAAGGACCAAGAATAAGATGCAGAAGGAGCAGAAGAGGTCAATGACCAACAATAGCAAGAGTTGGGAGGAACACCCATATCCTCTATGGCAAAAATAAACGTTGCAAAATCTACTGTATAACAGAAGAAAACACATTTGAGGTTTTATATGCAAAATCACTGAGTTCGCAGTTAATTAAAAAGAAGAGAATTTACACTTCACAAGACTAAGATTCTTTAAGAGTTAATATCTGAATACAAATGACTAAATATCAATAAAATAGGAAAGAAATTCAGAGAAATAAATACATCAAAATAAGACACAAAGTTAATTGTATGTGGTGCTAGTGTTTTGTTCCCATATTATAATACAGCAGGATTCTACAACTGGAATAGAGACCTGAGCTGTAACACAAATCCTACTGTTGTTCTTCAGACAGCACTGAGGGACAAAGACACCATCTCACATTCAGGCCCCATCTGACGCCATGCTTTACATAGCTGGGCTTTTTTTGAGATGGGGTCTGGCTGTGTCTTCCCAGGTGGGCTTCAACCTCGTGGGCTCAGCCGAGCGTGGTGGCACAGGAGGCCTGTGCTGAGGCAGGGGCATCTACACAAGTTCAAGGCCAGTCTGGACTACACAGTGAATTCAACACCAGCCTAAACTTCAGAGAAAGACCGGGTCTTAAGAAGACCAAAACCAAAACAAACTTGAGGGATCCGCCTGCCTGGGCCTCCTGAGTAGCTGGGGCCATAGATGTGTGCACCCCATGCCCAGCTTCATTAGTACTGTGGACCTAAAGGTGTACTGTCAACCAGTCTTTATAAAAATTTCTGAAAATAGCTTTAAAAATACTGAACTGTGCTAAGAGATACAGCTGTGATGCAGTGAAAGGACGTAATGGATGAGAAAAGGCATCTCACTACACAAAGTGCATTTCTAACATTCAGCCAATGACTTGAGGACAACGATATATTTAACCTGGTACACGGCATATCTTTTAAAAAGCATGTTAAATCTTCCTCTGGTTAACCGTGTAATTGAAAAATCCTGAGTAAACAATTCTTAAATATTAACCATTTTGTACTAAAAACCAAAGTACAACACGTTCAAATGTTAAAACTTAAGAGCTGGGCTAGGGGTTTAGCTCAGTGGTAGAACACTTGCTTAGCATGGGACAGGCTGTGAGTTCACAATCCCTGCCACACTGCAAAATGAACACAGAAAGCAAGCTCGATGATCTAGTTTGTACTTTCCACAAAACTGAAACTTACACTCTGAATCTAGAAAAATGCTACTTTTATAGGGCTCTTGGGAGGGGACAAAGAGCACACGCGAGTGCACCAAAGTATGTATTTTGAAAGGATGAGAGGTTGAGTGGACTCATCAATAATTATACGATAATCTACATTTTGATTACTTTTGTATGTGCCAGGCCCTGTGCTAAGCAATTTGCACATATTATCTCATTTAAACCACATAGCAACCCTGTATCTTTTTTTTGTTTTTTGAGACAAGACTTCACTGTGCAGTTCAGGCTGGACTTGAACTCAGTGATCATCTTGCATTAGTCTCCCAAGTGCTGGGATTAACAGGCGTGTGCTACCATGCCCAGCAGCAACCCTGTAAACCAACAACAGTACCCTTTCTAACTTACAAATGGAAAAAGAGATATCATGAAGCTAAATCCCCTTCCAAAGGACCACTGTAAACCTATACTTGATTCCAAGGAATTGGACAATATCCACTTCCTTTAATTAACATACTGGGGGTTGTACTATTGGGGTACATGAAAGGAAGAAAACTGACAACCTAAAAAAAAAGTATTCTGAAACTGCACTGTTATCTATTCATTTTGGGATTTATAATTTTTAATTTAATGATAAAAAAAATCTATCTCCAGAAGTTCAATTTTTTCACCTGCATGTAAACAGCTCTAAATAAACCTAGCGTCAACCCCAATAGAACAAATTTCAGCAGCAAGACAAAGGCAGAGTACTTCATTCCTAAATCCCTTCTAGTGCACGGAGGTTAGGAGAACAAAGCCGCAGCAGGAAATACTGGCACTTGACTATGTGGATAACGCCAGCACCTTACTGTGGATATGTTATATTTGGGTCTTCACTGCCCCCCAAATGACTACATGCTAAAGGCTCAGTCCCCATCCTGTGCTGCTACTTGGAGGTGGTGGAGCCTACTGGCAGGGAATTAGGACACCGGGGTGAGGGGGTTCCCCTTGAAGAGGGTTATTATGGTTTGTGTCTGGGTGTCCCCCCAAAGATACATGCAGTCATGGGGCAGGCTTTTAGAGTTTATGACTGATTCATGTCCAATGTTGGAACTATGGGTGTGAGTGCTACACCTGCCTGGGGCGGGTAGTTTGCATACAGCGCAAGGGAGGGGAAGAGGCTAGGTGCCACCACTCCTCCCTTCCGCTCTTGTTGGTTTTGCTGTTCCGTAGCCATGCACTGTTGCCCTCTGCCATGGGCCACTCTGCCTTGGAGACAGCTGAGCATGGACTGAAACCTCCACAGACTGTGAGCTAAATAAACCTTTCCTTCCTTAATTCTGGGTGTCAGGTATTTTGTCTCAGCAGTGAGAGAAAAGTAACCAAGACAAGGGTATTAGAACCCTAGCCTTCTCCCCACTCTTTGATACTGGTGGTTGACCTCAGGGGCTTTGCTTGAGCTACACCTCAGTCCTGTTTTTAAATTTTTTATTTGGAGACAAGGTCTCATTAAATTGCCCAGGCTGGGCTTCAACTTGCAATCTTCCTTTCTCAGTTTTCCAGAGGGCTGGGATTGTAGGTGTGACCGCCATGCCTGGCAGCCCCTTCTCTCTCTTTTGTGTCCCAGCTACCAGGAGATGTACAAACCCCTCCTGACACATGCTTCCCTCCATGTAGTGCCTCAGGCAACCAGGCCAGGCAGCCATGTATTGAAACCTCTAAAACCCTGAGCCAAGATGACTCCTTCCTCCTTATAAATTAATTATCTCTGATGTTGTGTCATAGCAATGAAAATCTAACACAGTACAATACTCCACAGTTCAGAGCTGGTGGTCGTTATGTCATTTGATTTCTGAACAACTTAGGTCTTATACCACATTATAGATGAAGAAACAGAGAGAGATGAAGTTATTTGTCCCAAGACAAAAACATATTGCAGCAAAAATGAGAAAAGAGGGTTTCCAGTATCTACTTCAGTTCACTTTCCACCCAGTCAGGGGAAATCCACCTGAACACAGAGAAGTGAAAGAGTCTGATTCAACTGGCTTATACTGTCTCAATATCTCACTTGAGATACTGTCTCAATTCTAAGATTCTATACTAAGAATTGGCTTTAAAGGGCACTAATATAGTATAATTTCTTAAACAAGAGTCAATCATCCATACGTGTATTTATATGGAAGGCAAATACGTTAGTTTATTTGTTATTAAATTTAAGCATTTATAACACATACACGTATACTGTAGGTTTTGTAGCTTCGTCACGCAGCACATGCGTGTATGCAGTCTGCCTTACTGCCAGAAACTGACACTCCTCTCTTCTTAGGAATTTCTAAGAAAAATGCTAGCGTTTAAATTTCATCCTATAAATTCCTGTGCTCTATACAACTATTACAGCTTCTGCTAATTCAGGCAGATGGTAAAGAGAGTCAGTCTAAATCAACTAAAAGAATCATAAAAATGTCTAAAAGAAAGGGATTTTGACTGACATCAAAAGCACAGAACACTTGATCTTGGGTAATAAAGTTTGAAGTGTGTCAGCTTTAGGATGACAGCTACCAGCTAGAACGTTTGATCTGCAGTAACAAAAATGACTTAAATTTGACTGTGGCTATAGTTGTAGAACTCTGTCAATGTGCTAAAATCTATTGAATTTTACATCTTAAGTTTATAAATTGTGCAGTATGCAAATCTGTTTGATAAAGTTATTTTATTTTTTAAAAAAATAAAACTTTGTGTGTACCATATAATTTTAATTACAAGTTCCTTTCATTCATTATACACTCATACATAATGCCTAGAAAGTTTGTATTCTAAATAAACTGAGTAGTCAAGTTACTAAAATTTTTATTTCTTTGCTAAGCAAATTAATACTTCAGGTAGTGACTTTTGGAAGACCCTGCCTCAAAATTTAAAAAGGCTAGGGAGGCAGCACAGTGTTAAAGGCCCTAGGTTCAATCCTCAGTACCATCAACACAACAAAAAGAAATTCTTAAAGAGTAGGCAGAATGGGATTACATCTTATAATCTGCATATATTGCAAAGCATCAAACCCCAATATAAAACATTATACCCAGATGAATCAAATATTTACCTGAATAAGTTATGAGCACTCCAGACCAATTAAAAAGTGTATTACCTGAGTAATTCAGTATGTTTTATCAAAGGAGTTTCATAATCAAGTACTAAATTCTAGATATTGTGTAAAATTATAAACCTTTAAAGGACTAGTTAGCATTTAACATTCAAAAAGGAAATTCTACCACAGGTACGAAATTAGCCCACTGGTTACCTCTCCAGCACTGGCACACTCTTTGGCTCTTCTGTGAAGTGCAGCCCAGGTATCTTCATACCTAACAAAATCAAAAAATAATTCAAGATGTGAATATACATCAAGAAAGAAATGTTACTGAGAGAGATGAATCTCGCTGGGTGTGGTAGCACAAGCCTACAATCCCAGCACTCAGGAGGTGGAGGCAAGTGTGTTGTTGCGAGTTCTAGGCCAGCCTGAACTACAGGGGAAGACCCTGTTTTGAAAAAAAGGAAAAAGATGAATCCAGAAAATACTGTAGTTCCAGAAAGAAGAAGCTCAGTAAATAATGGAAACATGTTACAAGGACACAGAAGTCAACTGGAAGGGATTTCCAGTGGTCAAATATGAGACAATTTGAGCAACAAAATAATGACAGTAATGGATTGTAACTCAAAGAATAAAACATGAGTTCATAGTGATAGCTGAGTAAGTAAACAAATGGAAGAGAAAAACTTTAGAATTCCACTTTAGTGATTTTAGAAGAAATGATGAAAAGTGAAAAATCATCATTTGGCAAACACAACAGAAAAAACTATCTCAGGAAAGAAATTTAATGGATGTAAAATTAGTGCGTAAGACTATGGCAAGAAACAGGATATCTATGTAGAGTATTCTCAAAGTATCTCCCCATGGGACACTCAATAACATGTGGGAAATAGAGCCAACAGTGGAGAAACCTGGCAGTTACTTTAACCAAGTGATCAAAATCAAAATCAACAGTAATGAGACATGTTAATGTCACATCCCTCCCAATACATAGGATGTACTGAAAAAAGGACACAAAATTACTCCTCTAGTATTCTTGGCAAAAAGGCACCAACTTGAATTTATGCACTAGGGAAAGGAGGAAAATCCGTATTGATGGGCATTTTGCAAAGTAGCTCACCAGTACTCTTCAAAAGTGTCACAAAGACTCAGAACTGTTCCAGGCTAAAGGAGATGAAGGAGACACAGTGACTAAACATAATGTGTGGTTTTGAACTGGATCTTGGTCCTGAAAAAAGAGTTTCAGTGAGACAAATGATGAAATCTGAATAAGGTTGGCAGTTAAGTATTTACTTGGAATTAAATGTTAATTTCCTGGGTTTGGCTGGGCATGGTGGCACACTCCTCTAATCCCAGCACTTGGGAGGATGAGGCAAGAGGATTTCCATGAATTGGAGGCCAGCCTGGGTTACATAGTGAGTTTAAGGCCAAGCTGAACTACATAGTGAGACCCTATCTCAAAAAACAAAAAAGAAAAAAAATTTTTTTAATTTCCTGGTTTTGGTTAGGGCATCTGGAATCCTTGTTTTACTTTGCAACTTTTCTGTAAAGTCTGTTATTATCTCAAAATGAAAAGTTAAAAAATAAGAGTTTCTGAACTATTATCTATAGGGTTGTAAAAGTTGATTTTTCATCTTATTTAAAATTCTAGCTATCCAAATGATAATTCTCTAAACAGAAGTACGCATTTTTTTTTTTTTGGTTTTTTTTCTCCGGTACCGGGAACCGAACTCACGACCTTGCGCTTGCCAGGCAGGCGCTTTGCCGCTGAGCTAAATCCCCAGCCCCCAGAAGTACGCATTTGATAAATTTATACTGCCTCTCTCTGTTGCCACAGAGAAATTTTCCTGTTGAGTTTAAATAGGAATCTCAATTGACAATCCCAACAGACTATTGCCAGCATCTACATGTAATGTAAAGGTGGAAGGTCACGCAATCCAGTCCTACTGTCACTGTCAACTACCAGATCAAAACTGCTCTCTAGTGTATCAGATGGTGCAAGCATCAATTAAAATTAACAAGTAAGTGGCCCTTTGACTAACTCAATTCATTCCTAAGGGCTGGTTGTAACTTAAACTGGCAGTTGAGGGCTCAGGCTCCTCTACACAGCCTTCAAAGTCTCTCTCCTGTATACAGGTAGATCTTGGTATCCTTAAGAGACACTCTGGCCCAGAATTTCTCAACCCCATACAAGAAAAAATGTAGTAATGCTCCTTCTAGAACTCTTTAAGGGTTAAATCTGTATCTGAGAAGCATAAGTGGCCAGCATTCAGATCGTAACTCAAGACTGTTTGTAAACTAAAACTAAAATTCTGGTCATAACCCAAGTTCTTCATATGTCAGGCCAGTAGTAACTTGAGGATCCACTTATTTATAGAGTGTCAGGCACTGTTAGGCACCAGAGTGGCTGAGCTCAATCTTCCTTTTGCACAGAGGACTTACTGAACGTCTGCTGACCACATGTAATCCCTAGCACTCTGGAAGGCTGAGGCAGGAAGGTCACAAATTCAAGCCAGCCTGGAAAACTCAGTGAGTTCTTGCCTCAAAATAATAATAATAATTAAAAAGAAAAGGCTGGGGATGGAGCTCAGTGCTAAGGCCTTGGGTTCATTCACCAGCATGCACCCCTCTCCCATCTGTTGAATGAATATACAAATTTAAAATTTAAAATTCAAGGCTTCACAGTAAAATTTTCTATCATTATCCTCAATCAACAGAAAAGAGCAAGTTAATTATCACTTGCCATTTACATTCCAGATCATTCTTTTCCTATAATCCTCCCATTAGTTTCTTTTTCCCTTCTTACCATATGTATTTTTTGCAACCTCTTTATTATATACCACCTTCCCTCACGTCTATCTTCCTATGTCAGCACCTCATCCATGATTTTCCTGTTGTATTTGGCATTGGGATTCTCTAAATAATGATCTAGATTAGCCCATCCATCCATGTTCTCTGCTCTACTGCTACGCTGCTGCGCACTGTTGGAGAAAGGCAGGCATACCATCCTTTACAAAGCTGTACTATCAACGGTCCTAGTTACTGAGATAAATACCCAACACCCACAGTTAAAGGAGGACAGGTTTGTTGTAGCTCACAGTTTATAGAGATTTCAGCCCACAATTGGCTGGCTCCAAGGCAGGGCACTGCAGAGGGGCATCACTGAGGAGAACAGTCCACAGCAGGCAGAAGGTAACAAAGCAGTGACGTAGCAAAGCAGCAGCAAGTGACCACAACAACCCTCTTTCGGTCCCTTATATTCTATCCAGGCTACCTGCCATAGCATGCACACCCAGGGTGGCCCTTCCTACCCAGAACTATGCCAAACCAATCAGTGGGCTAATTTAGTTATCACACATCCTTAACCCCAACATCACACACTCTAGATCCAGCCACCTCTGAAAAGCCTACGACTACCTGAGGCTTTGGGGGGACATCTAGACACAAGCCATAACACCAACTTCACATAGGCCTTAGCTGGCACTCGGTTTTTTTATTCACTCCTATTAGTTGCTCCTTGAAATCCACACTACAGGTGATATGTAGCTCATGCAGCCTTAAAACTCATCTTTATCCAATCACTTCCAACAGATGGATGGCCTTACTGCACCATTTTACTGGGATGAACGCCCTGGATATAATCTCCTTCAATTTTCCTGCTTTCAAATAACTTTAAAATCACAAATGATGAAAAAAATGAAGAAACTATGTTCACAAAGCAATAATTCATTCATTGAATTACTGAACGTATTCTCCACATATCACAGTGGAACTAGTGGAAGAGTTCAGAATATAGTTAAAAACATCAGTATGTACACTATTACCTTCCATGGTAGACAAAGCAAAGTGCTAATTATAAAGCACTAGAACTACAGGAATGTACACTTTTTGGTGGTACTGTAGTGGGGACTGAACCCAGGGCCTTGCACATGCTAGGTAAACAATCTGCCATGAGCTATACCCCCAGCTGAAGGAGACTAATCCCTCACCTTGGTGTGCCACCCTGGTTAACAAGTTATGATTTAGAGGCCAGTGGGGAGATAGCAGAGCGCGAAGCACTGGGACTATCTCCTGGCCCGGACCACAGCTGCTGACAGAGCCTGCCTGATGAAACGGGAGTCTACCGAAGGCTTGTGATTTCTAGGGATGGAAAACTGACATTAATTTTGGTCAGTTTCAGCTCTTGGCACAGTAGCAGCTACCCGGTCCCCTCACCGCCAACCCTGGGGCAGACAGCCACGCACTGGTTTCTAAGCAGTTTCCAAGTGGCTTGTGGGAGCCAAGGCTGACAATAAAGAGTCTGTTCTCCAAGGACTGGGGATCTGTGCTCTAATCACTAATTGCTGCTTCTGATCAGGGAATGCAGACACACAGGCAGCCACAGTTACACATCCTCCTTCCTGCTAAAGAGACTTTCGGCGGATTTAAAACACCAGTACCTGGTTTTTGTCCCCCTTCATGTTTCTGTCTCCTCTTTGGGAGCCAGACATTTAAGAACTAGGACATTAAAAGGTAACCACATATACTGGGGAATTCAGAAAATCATCACACAAGTCTAGTGAAAGGTACAGGCTCAGGAAAGACTGAGGAAATCAAGTTTTACACCTCAAGCTGAACACCACTACAGAGGCTGCAACAATCAAAAACCAATGGCAAACCTAGGGGATGGGGGAAAAACTGATCTCCAACATGACCATAGTTTACAATTCAAATCTCCAATTTAAAAAAAGTCGCAAGGCAGGCAAAAAAACCAAGACAACAAGGTCCTTACAAAGGAAAAAAATGAACTGGCAAAAAACATTCCTGAAAAAGATCAGGTGATGAGTTTACTAAAAATTTTAGGGTTTTTTTTTTGTTTTGTTTTTCTTCCGGTACCAGGAATCGAACTCATGACCTTGCACTTACCAGGCAGGCGCTATGCCGCTGAGCTAAATCCCCAGCCCCGACTAAAAATTTTAAAACAGGGGTAGGGGTATAACTCGGATAGAGCACCTGCCTAGCATGCATTAGACTCAGTACTGGGGGAAAAAGACTTTATAACTGAAATGAAAATTATTAGAAGGATTTGAGCAGGCAGAAGAATCAGTATGCCTGAAGATGAGACAACTGACATCAGTCTGACGAGCAGAAAGAAAGAAGCTTAAAGAAAATGAACAGAGCCGAAGAGGCCACTATGAAAAGGACCAGATATACATCATGCAAGTTCCATGAGGAGAAACAATCATGGAAAGCAACACAGCAGCTCCTCAAAAAACTAAAAAGTGAATTACCCAATGATCCAGCAACTCTGATTCAGGGTATAATCCCCAAAGAACTGAAATCGGGGTCTCAAAGATACATACACCCCCAGGTCCACAGCAGCACTGTTCACAACAGCCAAAAGGCAGAAACAACCTGTGTCCACTGACCAAGGAATGGAAAAATAAAACGTGGTGTACACATCTACAGTGGAACATTACTCAGGCTGAACAAAGACGGGAATCTGGACACACGCCACAACACGGATAAACCCTGAAAACATCATGCTTAGTGAAATAAGCCAGTCACAAAAAGGCACACACGGCACTGCATGATTTCCCATCTAAGAGGTCTAGAGCAGTCCGATTCATAGAAAAAATGGAATGATGTGAAGTTGCCAGGGCCGGGGGAAAGAGCAAAGGAAGAAGTGGTAGGTAGTGGGCGCTGTTTCAGTTTTGCCAGCTGAAAAGATTTCTGAGGGTTGGATATACAACAGTATGAAGTGTACTTAATTTAACACTTGAAACTACACTTAAAAATGGTTAAGATGGCAAATGTTGCATTACTTGCATTTTACTAAAATTCTCTAACTGAAAAAATGTGATCTAGATAGTCACTATTTAAAATGGCTTTCCCCTTACCTAATATTAGTTCCACTGAGAAAAAAAAAATTTTGTTTCAATGCAATGTACGCACATATATAGGCACTATCCTATGGTTGTAAGTTTTTCTTTCTTTTTTTTGTTTTTTCTCAGGTACTGGGAACCGAACTCACGACCTTGCACTTGCCAGGCAGGTGCTTTTGCCGCTGAGCTAAATCCCCAGCCCTGGTTGTAAGTTTTTCATACTGTCATAAAATGCATCTGTAGCCCAAAAGATTACCGCACAGGAGTCTATACCTCCAGAGCAAATTTTTCCATGAAACTAGGTTCATTCCGGCTAAGTCACTAAAGAAAATTAAAAAATAAAATGTAAATAAACAGTATAGCGCTGGTGAATTTTTACTACTGTTCTTTTCATTTTCACTTATGCTCTTTACCTAACCAAGCAGGAAATTACTATCTAAGTACACTTTCATTTCGGAGAAGAAAAACCTCTAGACTTAGCAATCGTAAGAAACCCAACTAAGAACTAGAAAAGTGAAAACACAGATAGCAGTAACTGCATACATGAATACACGTAAGGAAAACCAGCTATCTTCCACTGTTCACTTCTGTCAGCTGTTGCATTTTAAAACACATAACTTCATGTAGCAACATACTTTAATCATAAACTCATTTTTCATCATTGGTATAAATTATATACCATAAAAGTCACTCTTACAAATATGATAGTCTGTAGCAGAACCACAAAGTTGTGAAACTCTCACACTATCTCAGTCCAAAACATTTCCATCACTCAGAAAGAAATCCCTCTCTCTTACATCAGTCAATAACTTCCAAATCCTGGCAACTACTAAGCTACTTTTTTTCTTTATAGATTTGCCTCTCTGGACATTTCATATAAATGCAATCATATGTGACCTCTGGTGCTGACTTCTGAAATGTTTTAAAATTTCATCCACTATATACACATCTTGTGTATTCATCAGGTGATGGACACAAGCTCTACTTTTTGGCATTATGAGTGGTACAAGTTTTATATGGACATATGCTTTTCATTCTCTTGGAGTCAAACTGCCAGGTCACATGATAATTTTACATCTAACTTTTTTCTTTGCTTGAGCCTGGGTCTTACTATGTAGTCCAGGCTGACCTTCTCCTGCCTCAGCCTCCCAAATAATAGGATTACAGGTACACACCACCACACCCAGCTATATCTAACTTTCACAGAAACTACTGAATTGTTTTCCAGAGTAGCTACACCATTGCACATGTGCACCAAAACTACATCCCCCAGATCCTCACCAACAGTTGGTATTTTTGTGAATATTAAGATGCTAATAAGTGTTATCTCACTGTACTTTTTTTTTCTGTTTTTTGAGAGACAGTCTTGCTGTGTAGAGTTCAGGCTGGCCTTGAACCCCTACATAGCTTACACTGGCCTCAAACTCACTAGATCCTCCTGTCTCAACCTCCTGAGTGCTGGGATTACAAGCATGTGTCACCACACCTGGCTCTGTGTTTTTTACTTGCATAAATGCTCATTTAAATCCTTTGTCTAGTTCTTCAATGGGTAGTCTTTTTGCCCCCAGTACTAAGGATTGAACCAAGGCCTTCATATCCTTCACACCCTTCCCAGCCCTTTTTGTTACGATTTTGAGACAGCGTCTCCTAAGTTATTAAATTACCCAGGCTACCCTCTAACTTGTGAGCTTTTTGCCTCAGCCTATGATAGTACTGAGATTACAGACATACGCCCAGCACACTTGGCTACTGGGTGGTCTTTTTACTGTTCAGTTACAAAAAGTTCTCTATATATTCTGGATAAAGCCCTTCCTCAGAGATGACTGGCAGATATTTTCTCCCATTCCATGGTGGTTGTTTCACCTTCCTGATGGTATTTGTTTGCTTTGAGATAGGATCTCACTACATAGCTCAGGCTGGCCTTGAACACACTATGTAGCCCAGGATGGCCCTAAACTCCCAGTCATCCTCCTGCCTCAGCCTCCACAGTGCTGGGATTATAGCTGTGCATCACCACACCCAGCATTTTTTTTTTTTTTTTTTTTTTTTTTCCGGTACCGGGAACCGAACTCACGACCTTGTGCTTGCCAGGCAGGCGCTTTGCCGCTGAGCTAAACCCCCAGCCCCCACACCCAGCCTTAATGGTGTTCTTTGAAGCATAAGAGTGTTTAATTTTGGTCACTGTCCAATTTATCTATTTTTTTCCTCTGCTGCTTGTGCTTTTGTTTTCATGTCTAAGAAAATCATATCTTTTAATATTAATGCACATCAACAGGAATGAATTAGAAAATAACTGATAGAGAAGAGTAAAAATAAGAAAATGAATTGAGAACTCAAATTCAAAACCAATTTTCTTGCAAAGAAACCACATATATACAATAAATCTATATATAATAAAGTACCAACTAGTAAGTGCAATAATGATGTATCTATCCAAAGTCTGAATGGCCTTTGTACTAACCAGTGAAAAGGAAAAGAATAAGCAATGCTTT